AATAATCGCGGTGGTGCCAACCTAACAAAAACATTGACCCCCTGCGCTTTTTTGCTCTTGGTGGGTCCTTTGTTGAATGGGAAATTTGTCCTTTTAATTTTTTTAATTTTTTTTTCAAAAAAAGGGACAAACCCCCTTTATAACCGGGGAACCCCCCCCCCCCCCCCGGCCAGGGTGAGGGGAACAATCGCCTCATGTAAGGTTATCCAGGACGATCTTGAATTGTGAAATCAGTGGTGGCTCTGGATTCAAGGAACTGGATTCCGGATTCCTTGTCAGTGGAACTTGGATTTTGGATTGCAATGACTAGCAGGAATTCTTTAAGCTGAATACTGGAATCCAAAGCCCAGGATTCCGGATTCCAGAGTTTGCAAGCAAAAAACTTCCAGGATTCCAGAATCCAGATATTACCTTTCATTGGGCAAACCGAGGTCTTTCAACTTTTGAACTCAATCCTGTATATGTTGTTCAATTAATTTTTTATCTCAGACAAGTTTTTTTGTTTTTGTTTTTGTGTATGGTAATGTATGGTAATGACGTTGAAACAAAATAAAAATAAAATACAACATATATGCTGATACCTTCTATAACTGTATAGGTAAATTTGTACGTTAATAAGCCAAAATTGAGGTAAACACCCATGGAATATTAATTGTTTAGATGGCACCATTGCACTACAAATGTCAAAAATAAATGCACCTTTGGTCTTGTGATGTGTTCATCTCCTTAAAATCAAACTTTATTGACCACAAAAAAAAAATTGAAGTTTACACCAGTCTAGTCTATCTAGTCATGTATGAAAAAATCCTTGATTTAAAAGAAGTGGAAATAGCTTTTTTTATTTTTATACAAAATTAATAATACGGCTAAAACAAGTTTTTAATGCCACATAAAAGCAATTCTGAAATATTATGTACCAACAAGGTTTCTATTATCAAACCAGCTGGACAGGAATGTAAGCAGAATATTGGTGATATGCAAAAACTATAGCAGCTCTTTCTCATTGCTTCTTTTGACATTAGTCACTGCTCATGGTAGCTAATTAATTAAAATAACAGTCTAGCTGACTTAATTATGGCGTTACTATTAAAGTTTAATTTAGTTTGAGGCGGGGGGGGGGGGATTAAAAAATAGATATCGTTCCCTTTTAAATTGTTTGGAGGAACGAGTTTAAGGCGCAATTTCTCGTATNTTATTCTTTTAGTGTGACCGAAGTAATGATAAGTGTATAGCGATTGTTCTCGCTTTGTTCTCCCTTGTTTGACTGTCTTATGGCGAACTGCAGTATAATAGACCATTTTACAGTTGTGGACTTAGTACCCTAGCCTTCGAGTGAATGTGAGGCTGACGGTGACCTTGTTTTGATAGAAACCTCCTTTGCTTTGTGATGGAAATTGTCCCTGAAAAATACTAGTTAGCATAAGAATAACTTGATTTACATAATAAAGCAGGAAGGTTTGTACCAAAACAAGGTCACCGTCAGCCTCGCTTCCATCCATAACTGTAAAATGGCCTATTGCAAGACATAGTATCGTTTCCCCAACAATAACTACATTGTGCTTTTGTAACATATAATACATAAATATGTGAAAACCTTCGTCAAGGAGGTTTTCTTAAATTCATAGCTACTTCTCCTAAACTAAGAAAAAGTAAAAATAAATATTTCACGCCATTCTGATTCGGACTTAACTTTAATAAGTAATGCTTCTTGTCGTGTTTTATGGCATCCACTGTTAGTTCAATTTCTCACCTGTTGATCCTTAAGCCACCCACATGAAGGGGCGTGACCTTATCGACGGTTCTGGAATAAACTTCGGTCATGAATCGCTTCATAAGAAACTGAGAACACGCGAAATTTCAGAGAAGCAGAATTTACTCCTCTGAAAACTAAAGAACGAAGGTAATTTTTTTCTTCCTGTTTTATTTTGTGATCTTATTTAACGTTCAGTGTTTCACCTGTTTATTTTAAAGCTAACCACTGGTAATAATGTGACCTTACGGTCGGTTACGGCACGCTTAACAACAGTTGAGGCCTCAAATGTAATAATTGTCCCTAAATGTAATAAAGGTCTTAAGTGTAAAAATACACTGGAGATGAGATGGAGATGGTGATTTGTACCTTGAGTACTTCTTTTTGGTTCCTCGTTTAAAATTTTCTGGTATCCAGCCAGTGCTTTCGCCCAATTAAAGACCTTTCTTCCCCATTTTTAAAGAATCATACTCCATCTTGGAACGTGGAGCACGAACCAAACAGCGCAGTGACTTCCATTTTTCTTTGAGACTGGGAATGGTATGGACGGCTGTGTACCAAGTGAATTTTACTTGCAATTTATGAAAAGGTCCTTTCACAGCTCCTTAAATTCAGAACCTTGGTCTCTTTGCAGTACAAGAGGGAGTTCATTTTCCATGTATAAGCCTTTTACTCAGACGCAACTGCTTTGTTATTTTTACGGCTTTAAACAGGTCTAAGACAAACGAGCCTGCTGAAAACATTCATAACGGATAATACATATTGATAAACAATTCCTTGATCTGAAATTTAATCTTTCCCGCTTTCCAAGATTCAACAGACCTACTTGGTGTCTGACAAATACGAGAACAAACACGAGACGTAGTGGTTAGTTTTCCTTCTTTTCCTAATATCAGGCTGGGATTGAACAAGGCCAGGTGCCGTTGGGTTTGTTTAGAACTCTGATCTGGTTTTAGAGAAATTTTACCAATACCATCATGATCATTTAAGAATTTGTTGTTTGCTGTTTTTCTTTTAATCCACCGTATTGACACTGCCCAAATAATAACCTTGTTTACCGAACAAATTTTTGCCTAAGCCCTTGTTTTCAGTTTCCCTTGGGAAACCTTTAATACCCAGG